GGGGCCCCAGGGGCCCCCACAGGGGCCCCAGGGGCCCCCACAGGGGCCCCAGGGGCCCCCCGGGGGCCCCCCAGCTGCTGCGTGGGCGGGCCAGCCGCATGCGTGGGGAGGGGGCTGCTGGCCGGGGGGCCCCCAGGGGCCCCCCGGCCAGCAGTGCCCTCCAGCGGGGGGCCCCCCGGGGCAACTGAGGGGCCCCTGGGGGGGCCCCCAGGGGCCCCTCAGCTGCCCCCGGGGGCCCCCCGCTGATGCTGCTGCGCTGCTGCTGGACTTGGATGATATTGCGGGGGCCTTTGGGCAAGAAAGTCCCCCCCAGGAGGGGCCCCCGGGAGGGTCTTGGGGAAAAACGGAGTTTGGGGCCCCCGGGGGGCCCCCCCAGCAGCCTCGCCAGGGGGCCCCCCAGGGGCCCCCAGGGGCCCCCGAGGGGCCCCCAGGGGCCCCCCAGGAGGGCCGGCGCTGGGGAGCTCTGGGGACTCTCTCGGAGCCGCAGGAGCTGCAGCAGCAAATGCTCTCTCGGGAGAGTCCGGCAGAGGGGGCACTGTGGGCCCCTGCTGCTACTGCTGCTGCTGCTGCTGCTGCTGCTGCTGCTGAGGAGCGTTTCAGCTGCGGGGCCGGCTGGCCAAGTGCAGCAGCAGAGACTTTGCCGGGTGTCTGTACACCCGACGCAAACTCCGCCGGAGGCGGAGAGGAGCCCACTAGTGCTTCTGAGAGCCGTGGCACTGCAGCAGCAGCAGCAGCAGCAGCTGCTGCTGCTGCTGCTGCTGCTGCGAGGCAGGAAGCAGGGGGCCCCCCCTTCTGGCTGTTTGGAGCTGTTCTGGATGCCCGGGAAAGGGCTGGGGAGGGAGGGGAGTGGGAGCTGCTGGTGACGGACGGCCTGGAGGTGTTTGCTGCAGTTGCTGCAGCAGCAGCAGCAGCAGCAGTAGTGCAGCAGGTGCAGCAAACTTCGCTGTTTCGCCCGCTGCAGCAGCGGGAGAAGCTCCGGAACGCCCAGGGCCACTTTTTGCTGCAAGTTAAAGGAAAAGATCCCAAAAAGCAAAAAGTTCATCTTTTGGCTTTCCGGGCGAAGGCCCCGCGGGAGGAAGTCAAGGAAAAGTTGAATTTCCTTTTGGCTTTGTTGGCTGCAGAGCAGCAGCAGCAAGTCCTGAGCAGCTGAAGCAGACAGCGGGCCAAAAAGCGCTGCAGCAGCAGCAGCAGCAGCTGCTGCTGCTGCTGCTGCTGCAGCTGCAGCAGCAGCCGCTTTCTGCTCCGCGCAAGCACTTATTCAAGTTTCCTCCGCCGCCGAAACGCAACTGAAAAGGCAGCAGCTAGCCCGGCTCTTTCCCGTTGGTGTTTTTTGTTTTTCAGTTGAGTTGGAAATGAAAAAAAAGATTAAAAAATGATTTTGAAATTCATTTCTTTTTTTGTCGCGCACGCGTTGGTTTCGGGTGTATAGGCAGCTCGCTGCGGACGCGCGCGGCGCCGGAAGGCGCAGATGCGAACCGAAGTTGCATTTTTATTAATTCTTTTTATTTTTTGTTTATTTTTCTTTTTATTTCCCGAATATTATCATTTTGAAACGATGCAAAGCATTCAAAAGCTCCAAAACGGCCAGGGCCAGCGCCTCCAGGCCCAGTACTTGTATTCAAGTTTCCCCCGCGTGGCTGCGCGGCTGCTGGAGGCCGCCTTCGCCGCGGGGAGTTCCCGCGTGGAAATTGTTGCAAATTTTTCCAAGTTCGAGCTGCGAGTCTGCGACAATGGGTGGGAAGTTCAATTAATTAATTAATTAATTAATTGAATTAATTAATTAATTTAATTAATTTAATTAATTTATTCAACAAATTAATTCATTTATTAATTGAATTAATTCATTCCATTCCGATTTGCTGCTGCTTTCCCTCGCGCGCTGCAGCAGAGGCCTCGGCGCCGCAGAGCTGGAGGCGATCCGGTCGGCCTGGCTGTCGCAGTCGAGTCTGTCTGAAGAGAATTCGAAGTGAATTATTTATTTAATTTAAATTAAATTAAATTAAATTAAATCAAATTAAATTAAATTAAAATGAATTAAATTGAATTAAATTGGCTGCAGCGCAGCAGCGCTGGCGCTGCTGGCCCACGTGGGCGACTTGCACATCCTCTCGCGCCAAGCCGGAAAGCCCCAAACGCTGCAGCTGTTGCTGCCGCGCCCCGCCCGAGTTGCTGCTGCTGCTGCTGGCAGCAGCAGCAGCAGCAGCAGCAGCAGCAGCAGCAGCAGCAGCGGGAGCAGCGGCACTTCCGTGGCTGTGTCGAACTTCTTTAAGGGCAGTCCGGTGCGGCGGCTGGGGCTGGACGCGCGGCGGGAGGCTGCGCTGCTGCAGCAGTTCGCAGTCGCCGCTGCAGTGTGAGTCCAAAGCCAGGGCCAAACTGGGGGCTTTTGAGGCCTTAGAGGCTCCTTTTAAAGCCCCAGAGGCTCCTTTTAAAGCCCCAGAGGTTCATTTCAAAGCCCCCAGTGCTCAGTTCGACATAGAGTGAGGAATAAATCCAAAAAAAGAAAAAAAAAAGAAAAAGACGCGAAAAAACGCGGCGGCTGCAGCGTCGCGGTAGACACAGACGCCAGCTCCCGCCTGCTGCTGCCCGGCTGCAGCAGCTTCAAAGAAAGAATTGCGCAAATCTTCGTGAGATCAAAAACGAAATAAATTTATTTTTATTTATTTTTTTATTTTTTTTATTTTTTTATTTTTATTTTTAATCCAAACTTGCAGGGAAAAGGAACTGCCAGCCATTTCGTGAGCGGCTGGACCTGCGTTGAATGCTGCAATCGATTCCTTTCCACTGCTGGATCTTTGAGTGCCTCCAATGACTTTTAAATCTTTTTGTCTTTATTTCATTTTATTTCATTTATTTCATTTATTTCATTATTTCATTTATTTCATTTATTTTATTTGCGGAAAATGCAAATGGCCGCAGGAGGAGTTCTCGGCGAAAGGCGAAACTGCCAAGATCGAGGGGCTGGTCAGAAAGCGAGCGGGGGGTCAGTGGAACTTGTCGGATTCAGCTGTTCCGCCACTTCTTCTGCGGAATCTTTTTTCTTTTCTTCTTTTCTTCATTCACTTTTATTTTATTTATTTATTTTCTCCGAGATTCCGGCGTTCGGCGCATTCGCTTTCTCTCCGTGGGCCAGTTCAACTTTCCTGTCTTGCGAATAACTTGCACAAGTTGAATTCAGCTCAACGGGCGGCCCGTGCAGTGTCCCGCCATCTCTTCTTTGGTCGACAGCATGCAAGTCATTCGTTTCATCATTTTAATTAATTTAATTAATTTAATTAATTGGATTAATTGGATTAATTTCATTAATTTCACTTCCGACTATTGCCCGCAGCGCGCACGCGGCGCGCGCCGCAGCCGAGATCGGCTTGCAGCAGCAGCGAAACAAAGACTCCCGCCCGCCGCCAGCAGTCCGCAGCAACTTCGAAAGTCTTTTTAATATTTTCTAAAATTAACTTTTAGGAATTTGTGGTGGCAGTCGAGCTTCCCGAGGAAGCGGCGGAGTGTTTCGCCGACGAGCCCTTGCGTGAGTGCACTCAGCCTTTCCGCCGCTGCTGCGCGCTGCAGCAGCTGCTTCTTCTCTCGCTTCCTCCAGCTTTGTTTTGCTGCTCCGACTGGGCCGAAGTGAGTCCTTTTGCTGCTGATAGCAGCAGCAGAGCCCTCTGCTGCTGCTAGCAGCAGCAGCAGAGCCCTGTGCTGCTGCTGATAGCAGCAGCAGAGCCCTCTGCTGCTGCTGATAGCAGCAGCAGAGCCCTGTGCTGCTGCTGCTAGCAGCAGCAGAGCCCTGTGCTGCTGCTGCTAGCAGCAGCAGAGCCCCCTGCTGGGGCTGTGCTGCTGCTGCTGTGCTGCTGCGCCTTTTGCTGCTCCGGAAGCAACTCCCTTGCTGCTGCAGATCCTGTTTCTTCTCTCCCACGCAGTCCACGGCGCCTTGAAGCCAAGCAGCAGCAGCAGCAGCAGCAGCAGCAGCAGCAGCAGCAGCAGCAGCGGCAGCAGCAGCAGCAGCAGCAGCAGGCAGCACGTAAGCGCCTCAGTTCAAAAAGAAAGAAACCTCAATGAGCAGCTGCGGCCGCAGGACTCAGTGGCTTTTCTCTGAGGCTCTGCGGGCGCTGCAGCGCCACCAAGCCGGGACTTCAAGTAATTAAATTAATTAAAAAACTTGAAAATAATTTGAAGTTTTAAAACATTAATTTAAAAACTTGAAACTAATTTGAAGTTTTAAAACATTAATTAAAAAAATTGAAAATAATTTGAAGTTTTAAAGCATTAATTTAAAAAACTTGAAAATAATTTGAAGTTTTAAAACATTAATTAAAAAACTTGAAAATAATTTGAAGTTTTAAAACATTAATTAAAAAACTTGAAAATAATTTGAAGTTTTAAAACATTAATTTAAAAAACTTGAAAATAATTTGAAGTTTTAAAACATTAATTTAAAAAACTTGAAAATAATTTGAAGTTTTAAAACATTAATTTAAAAAACTTGAAAATAATTTGAAGCTTTAAAGCATTAATTTAAAAACTTGAAAATAATTTGAAGTTTTAAAACATTAATTTAAAAAAAACTTGAAAATAATTTGAAGTTTTAAAACATTAATTTAAAAAAAAACTTGAAAATAATTTGAAGTTTTAAAAAATTAATTTAAAAAAAACTTGAAAATAATTTGAAGTTTTAAAATCCTTTTGTGGCTTTCGAAGACTCCCCCGACTTTCTCGCCAAGTGGAAAGCCCTGGCCGAGGCGCAGCAGCGAACCCCACTGCAAATACCTGCAGCAGCAGCAGCAGCAGCAGCAGCAGCAGCAGCAGCAGCAGCAGCAGCAGCAGCTTCGTGTTCTGCGTGCTGCGCCGAGTCTCCGGCTTTGCCGGGATGTCCCAGTTCTGCTGCAGGGTCTGCTGCAGCAGCAGCAGCAGCAGCGTGGCGCTGCAGCTTGCTGCTGCAGCCTGGAGACGAAGGTAAGCCCCAGTGGTCCACTGGTCCACTTGCTGCAGCAACTTGCTGCTGCTGCTGCAACTTGCTGCTGCTGCTGCTTCCAGCTGCCACCCCCTCCGCCGCGCAGCTGCGCCTCAAAAGAGAAGACCTCCTGCGCGTCAAGCTGATCTCGCAGGTGCGGCTGCTGCTGCTGCTGCTGCTGCTGCTGCTGCTGCTGCTGCTGCTGCTGCTGCTGCTGCTGCTGAGCCAGCCCGGCTGCTGCTGCTGCGCCAGCTTTCACTGGCTGCCGCTGCCGAGCCAGCCTCCACTGGCTGCTGCAGCTGCTGCCGCTGCTGCTGCTGCTGCTGCTGCTGCTGCTGCTGCTGCTGCTGCTGCTGCTGGCCAGTGTGGGGAAAGCCATGCAGCAGCGCCGCAGGTGCAGCAAAACTTCCTGCTGGGGCTGCTGGACGGGCTGCTGCTGCTGGCCGTCGACCAACACGCAGCAGGCGAGCGGCTGCTGCTGGAGCAACTCGAAGACTCTTTTGCTGCGCTGCAGCAGCCCTGCGTGTGCTGCGCCCCGCTGCAGCAGCCCCTGCTGCTCGAGGTGCTGCTGCTGCTGCTGCTGCTGCTCCAATGCTGCTGCTGCTGCTGCTGCAATGCTGCTGCTGCTGCAATGCTGCTGCTGCTGCTGCTGCTGCTGTGGGGGGGGGTGGGGGTCTTGCTGCTGGGTCAAACCCCCAAACTGCTGCTGCTGCAGCGGCTCCTGCTGCTCGAGGTGCTGCTGCTGCTGCTGCTGCTGCGGGGGGGTCTTGCTGCTGGGTCAAACCCCCAAACTGCTGCTGCTGACTCTCTCGCTGCAGCTCGCGCTCCACGAGGCCTTGACGATCTCGGAAACGGCGAAGGAGGTGAGGCAGCACCTGCTGCTGCTGCTGCTGCTGCTGCTGCTGCTGCTGCTGCTGCTGCTGTGGCTGCTGCTGCTGCTGCTGCTGCTGCTGCTGCTGCTGGGGCGGCTGCTGCTGCTGCCGCTCGTTCAGATGTGCGAAGCGAGTCAACGCGCTGCAGCAGCTGCGCAAAGGCGCCCTCAAGAAGCGGAATAAAATAAAAAAGAATTAATTTTATTTATTTATTTATTATTTATTTATTTATTTATTTATTTATTCATTATTTATTTATTTATTTATTTATTTATTTATTTTATTTTCCATGTTCATCTTTCGCAGCTCTCCTTGCTGGGCTACAGGACGGAGCCGCCCCTGGCGCAGCTCGCCGGCCACCGCAGCGCAACTGGTAAACCCTAAACCCTAAACCCTAAACCCTAAACCCTAAACCCTCCGTACTGCGGCGCGCGCTCTGCTGCGTGTCCCACGTGCCTCGAATCTCGGCGGCCGCTAAACCCTAAACCCTAAACCCTAAACCCTACCCGCTCGGCGGTTGCGCGGCTGCTGCGCTGCAGCGGCCCACGTGCGCGCATTCTAGAAGCGCCAAACCCTAAACCCTAAACCCTAAACCCTAAACCCTAAACCTGCTGCAGTGACCCACGTGCCCCGCATCCTCGGGGAGCCCCTGGAAGCAGCAGCAATTCGAGAAGTGGCTTTGAGTTTGTCGCAGCAGCAAATTTGCTGCAGCATAAAAGAGCTGCTGAAGACGAAGGCCTGTCGCTTCGCGGTGAAGTTCGGGGGTAGGCCCCAAACCCTAAACCCTAAACCCTAAACCCTAAACCCTAAACCCTCGCTGCAGAGGCCCTCACCCCACAAGCTGCTGCACTCCTCCTCAGCAAACTCGCCCGCTGCAGAAAGCCCTTTGCATGCGCCCACGGCCGCCCCACAGTTTACCCCCTCGCGCTCCTCCAAACCCCACAAAGGGGGGCCCCCAGGGGGGCCCCCAGGGGGGCCCCCGGGGGGGCCCCCAGGGGGGCCCCCGTGGGGGCCCCCAGGGGGGCCCCCAATGGGAGCCTGGGGGCCCCCAGGGGGGCCCCCACAGGGGCCCCCAACGGGAACTTGGGGGCCTAGGGTAGCTTGGGGGCCCCCAAGCTACCCTAGGGGGCCCCCAAGCTCTCTTTGGGGCCCCTAAGCTCTCCTGGGGGCCCCTAACCTCTCCTGGGGGCCCCCAAGCTCTCCTTGGGGGCCCCTAAAGGGCCCCGGCGAAGGGCCCCCTGGCCCAGCTCTGAGGCCCCCTGAGGCCCCACAGCTAGCTGTGCAGCTTTGAAACGCCAGAGACGCTGGGACCCTAAAGACTCACCAGCTAGCTGGCTAGCTAGCTGGCTGGCTAGCTAGCTAGCTGGCTAGCTAGCTAGCTGGCTAGCTAGCTAGGTGGCTAGCTAGCTAGTTAGCTAGCTAGCCAGAGAGCCATAACACAGGCGCTGGGCCGCTAAAGGCTCGCGCTCACGAGCGATACAGCTGTCTTGCTAGCTAGCTAGCTAGCTAGCTAGCTAGCCAGCTAGCCAGCTAGCTAGCTAGCTAGCCAGCTAGCTAGCTATTAGCTAGTTGCAACGCCAGGCCGGAACTTGGCCAGCTAGCTCGCCAGGCTGTGGCGAACTGGCTGGCTAGCTAGCTAGCTAGCTGGCTCGGGCGCCCCCCCGGCCTGAGCAGCAGCAGCAGCAG